TTGGTTGTTGAAATAATATGACAGTTCCTATTTAGTAATCAATCTTTTAAGTTGTTTTTTTGACAAAATAAATAATAAGAGAAAGAAGAATTGTTTCACCTTTGAGACAAAGATGTGTCAGTGGAAGTCTGGTCTTCTCGTCGAAGGAATTGAAATTTGTCCGAATTATTAGAACAAGTATTTGTCCTAATATGATGCTCTACAATCGTATATAAACCCGGAAAGTGGCTAATTGCAGTGTGCTATTTCATCTGTATTTCTCTATGTTTTTCCGTGGTTTTAAATTGGGCGAAAAATTATGTGCGAGTTACAAAATTCGGCTTTCTGCACCATATTTTAATTGCACTTAAATTTTTCGATCTTTGTTTAGTGCAACACTTACATCCTTAACATTTTCCTTTGAATCCTTTCGTTAATTAACATATCTCGTCTTTGATGATGATTTCTCGCAAAATATTCTACTTGCATACTTTGAAATGTGGTAAAAATATTTTATTGCACTTCCGTATTTATTATTTTTATAAGAACTGTGTAGAAATAAGTCGTTTTACGCCCTCCCTAAGGACTTTTTGCAGGCACTGTTATTAGAAACGGGATTTATCAATTTGTTAAAGGTTGAGGATAAAAATTCAACACTGACGTATTATGATAAATAAAGTTTGAAGATCTTTAATTCAATTAAAACGTGATGCAAATTATAAAATGTATATTGTTAACATCATTACCCCTATGTGTCAAATGGAGGTTATATTCATTTGGTCACGGTAAATACTTCATAAATCAACATTTTTTAAACGCACTAAAGATCTTTAAATTTTAATCGTTGTCACATTTTTGTTGCTAGCATTTTTAACACATTCTTATCGTTGATCTTTCGTTTATTAGCACATTTTGTTGTTTATGACAATTTCCGAAAAAAAAAAAAAAGAAAGAAATATCTATTGGAGTGATTATAAACGAGGGACAAATATTTACTCATAATTTTTTATTTTTTGCTTAATCGAAATGTACGATGGTCAAATAAGCTTTTTTTCTCACTCGTTAACTGGACAAAAAAAAGAATGTACTAATTAGTGTAAGGTTGATAAAAATGCAATTTCGAAAATTTTGGGAACATATAAATATAACAGTGGACAGAGGTTATGAACCAGTTAAAATTTGGTACGCTTGTAAGAAAATATTTTTTGAATAGATGGAATGTGAAAAATCTGTATATTTATGGGGTCAAAACTCAAACGGAAATCTTGCATCCATTAAAGATGATTTTCTTTAAATGAAGTACTGCACGACATAGCGTCTAATATTTAGTGGTCATTTCCTCAATCAATCATTGATTAAAAAAAAGGATGAACCGCATCCTTTACGGCCCCCACCTGCCATGCCCTGGGCCTTAGTGAAGGAGGTAAATCGAAGATTATGCCTCCAAGGGTACATGATGAAAGACTGCTTGTACACTTGCACTTACTCAATGGCCAAATCCATATTTCAGGATTCGAACCCTTGACGCGACAGCCTCAAGCAAAGTTGAAATTTTTCCACCTTCCTCTTTTACTACTTGAAGATGTGCCCTATGGGCATCAATCATTGATAAATATCACCTAGACTTGTTAGTCTCAAGTTTCAGTTTTTATAATCTACCACATGTAACTAAGTAATTCATATTTTGCGCATCAATGATTCCTAGATTTTTAATTTGATAAATAAGTTTCACATTTTTTTTATTTACTTGCATCTTTATTTACAACTACTGCTGCGTATGTGGTGAAAACACATAACTAGACATTACGGGAAATGCAATTAGCCGACATATATTTTTAAAATAGTGTTGTAAAATAAAAATATTTATTATTTTAAGTTGAATGAAGTAAGACCTATGAAAATGTACATTTGCAAGATATTGTACTTTTTTCTTCAAGTCCAAAACAAATACGCAAAATACGCAGGAACTTAAAATGAAAAATGATCCAAATTCCACAACAAGTATGAAACGGCGTCTATGTAATTTTTAAGATTGGAAGGGATTTATGTGTTGGGTTTTTAAATATTTTTCTTATTTACTAAATTGGACATGAATAAGATGACTTAAAAACCACTTACTTATCTCTTTGATTCTTATGTACATGACAAAACTCTTAACACAATTAAACTTCCTTTTCTTCTCTCTCTTTTTTCTTTCTTTGTCTAAACTTATTCTAATAAAAAATCCTCCTACAAATGGCCATATCCGCAGGTATCTCAAAGAGAACGTTCAATTTCGTTTATCATTATTTCAACTATGGGAAATGGATTCCATCAATGTGATTTAAGAAAAAGTTAATGAAAGAAAACGTAAGTGTTTTATGGAGAGGAGGATAGGTGTATTATTTATTTATTTTTAATAGACTAGCTATATTTTTAACAAAGTTTGTAGTATATTTATAGAACATATATTTAATAAGTGTGTATTTATAAAGTGGTGGGACAAACTGTAGTTTTTAATATATTTACAGTTGACATTTTTGTGACGTAGTATCAGAGCAGGCTCTATTCCAAAGAAGCCTGCAATAAACGATCATATATGTTGTATTTTTTTCCTCGAAGTTCATCACCCTCCTAAAGCTGCTGTGAGTTGGATGGCTACCACTACAGGAGCATCAACCGAATTTACCCCAGAACCAACACAACAGATTATCGTACACTAAGACAATTCTGCTTTTCCTACCAGAATTACCCTCGGTGAGACCAATTACCCATTATGATCTCAACTCATGGAGATGCGTATTGGCGCTCGCAACAAAGCTGGATATCTCACCGGAGAAACAAAAAAAACCAAAATCTGGAAATCCCAATCTTGGAACATGGATAATTGAAAATCATAGAGTGAAAAGTTGGCTCATCTACTCAGTGAGTCCGTCGCTAATGCAACGATTTCTTCGCCTCTCCACCGCTAAGGAGATATGGGAGGCCGTATAAAAAACATTCTATGATGGATCAGACGAAGCCTCTATTTCTGAGTTGAACTAGAGATCTTTCTCTACCAAGCAAAACGGTCGACCATTATCAACATACTATAATGAACTACTTGCCACTTTCCCGGAAATTGATCATAGAACTACCCTTTAGGAAGAAACAGTCGAAGGGGTAATCCAGTTACACTCCGCGATGGCTAGGCTTCGAGTAGTATAAAAAGATTCACCTGGACTGTCTGGGTTTGATCAGGTTCGTGGAGAAATTTTGCGAAAAGATCCAAAACTTGATCATATGCATATGCATGTCAGGAGAGAATTTCAACAGAGACACACAATGGGGAGCTATCGTCCAATCACTGAGAACTCGGGTTATGCTGGCCAACCAATCTCGACAAGGATCATCAAACAATCAATAATCTGGAAAGGCTAACAACTGGGTATGCACTCATTGCGAGGAAAAAGGTTATGAGTTCTTTGGTAGAGGTGGAGGTGGAGTTTTGAAGGTTTGTAAGGGTGCTCAGGTTGTATTTGAGGGAGAGAAAATGTCTCAATTATACATCTTGCAGGGTTGTGCAGAATTTAGAATAATCAATCAACATAAATTTAGTACCGTGATGGACATTCAGTTTGGTACTATGTCTTTAGGAGCTCGTAAAAAGTCGGACGTGAAGAATACTTCTCGGTGGAGTTCATGAGATATAGATAATGCCGCTTTGCCACCATCACCTGTGGTGCTTTTGTATTCAATTGCTAGGAACGAACCAGTGGAAAAGTGTGGATGTGCTTTAAATGTAGTAGAAGGTGTTCAATCTAGCAAGAGGCCTTCAGTAAAAGCATTGGTATTGATTCTGCCTTGGAGTGTATTGTAGCCCATTTTGGTAAATTTAAAAATTATTATATTTTTGGGAATATGAGATAATTCTACAAGAATAGTGTTTGGATTCATTGAAAAAAGTTGAGTATTGTGTTTTGTTGGAGAAATTAATATTTTGATTATTGTTGAAGAAGTCGGTTCATTTTTTGATAGAATTCGTGTCAAGATAAAAATTGTTAGGATTTGGGTGTGATACGAATTCCTTGTTTGAAGTATTAA